GCACCTCCTCCACAATAAGACTGAACACTGGAGCCCCCCACGGATACATTCTCAGCCCCCTACTGTACCCCCTTTACACCCATGACTGTGTTACCAAATTCCGAATGAACTTCATCCACAAGCTTGCTGATGACACCACCGTGATAGGATATCAAACAACAAGTCAGAATACAGAAGAGATAGAGGGCTTGGTGACATGGTGCATTGAAAACAACCTCTCTCCCGACGTTGGCAAAACTAAAGAACTGATCATTGACTTCAGAAAGAAAGCAGGAGGAGAGCACGTCACCATCTACATCAACAGAACGGAGGCCAAGAGGGTGGAGAGTGTCAAGTCCCTAGGAGTGACGATAATTGCCAACCTGTCCCGGACTCCTCACATAGATGAGATGGTCAAGAAGGCACAAAAATGCCTCTTCTTCCACAGGCGGCTCAGAAAATTTGGCATGTCTACAAAGGTCCCTTACTAACTGTTACAGATGCATCATTGAAAACATACTGTCCGGATCCATAACAGCCTGGTATGGCAACCCAGGACTGGAAGATAGTACCAAAGGTTGTGTGCACAGCCCAGACCATCACAGAAGCCAACTTTTCATCCATGGGATTCCACTTACACAGCCCATTGCTGGGAAGGCTGCCAACATCAAAGACCCATCACACCCCAGCAATGCTCTCCTACAACCCCTTCCATCAGCAGAAAATACAGGAGCTGAACACACACACCAGCAGGTTCAGGAACAGCTTCTTCTCGGCCATTATTAACCTGATGAATGGACTCTCTAACTTCAAAAAAGACTGAACTTGCTAATGTTGATCTTGCCTAGTGCACGCTCTGTGTGACATAACTTGTATGCCTCAGTCTCGGTTTTTTCCACCCCATGATCTGTATGTCCTTGCTTACTATGAATTGCCTACACTGCTCTTCACTGAACTTAAATACACTTGACAGTAAATCAAATCAAATCACTGTGAAAGCAGCTTACCTCAGACTAACAGAGTTATAATGCATAGGGTTATACAGCACAGAAACAGATCCTTCAGTCCAATTCACCTATGCTGATCAGATATCCTAAACTGACCTGGTCCCGTTTGCCAGAATTTGGGCCATATCTCTCTAAACCCTTCCTACCATGTACCCATCCAGATGCTTTTAAATGTTGTAATTGTACCAGCCTCCACCACTTCCTCTGGCAGCTCATTCCATACACGCACAACCCTCTGCATGAAAAAGTTATCCCTCACGTAGCTTTTAAATCTTTCCCCTGTCACCTTAAATCTATGCCCTCTAGTTTTAGATTCCCCTACCCTGGGAAAAAGACATTGCCCCACATTGCCCCGGAAAGAAAATGTAGTTTTATTACAGAACATATAGAAGGCCAACTGTGGAGTCTATGAACTACTCTTTCACACTGCAGATTCTGCATCTGCAAACTCCTTCCCTACTAAAAACAGATCCCTTATGATCATTGTTCAAGTGACTAATAAGCTGTAATGTGGAACTGTGTAAATGACATAACATTTCTCAGGATTAATCTGTACGGATAGATATAGGGGAGGTGGTGGCACAGTAATAAAATGTCACTGAAGCAGTAATTCAGAGGCCCAGGCTAATGATGGGTAAAACCCCATCATGACATATGATGAAATTTAAGTTCAATTAAGAAATCTGCAATTGAAACTAGTCTCAGTAACAGTCGTCATCAGGAAAACCCTCTGGAAAAATCTGCCATCCTTGCTCAAACCCACAGCAACATGGTCGATTCTTAACTGCTTCTAACCAGACATTCAGTTAGGAATGGGTCATCGACATCTACAAGAAAGACTAAAGAAACTGAAACACAACCTGCATCCTCATATCTCTTGATATAACAAGGTGTAGAGCTGGATGAACACAGCAGGCCAAGCAGCATCAGAGGAGCAGGAAGGTTGATGTTTCGGGCCTGGACCCTTCTTCAGAAATGGGGGAG